TGGTAAAGGTCATGGAACAAGAGAAACATGTGCTTTGCATACCACGAGGCTCTCTTGTGATACATTAGTGGATTTTTGGTCTGCACTTGAAGAGCAAAGTCGGCAGTCACTTTTGAGAATGAAAGAAGAGGATTTTGTGGAAAGATTAACTTACAGGTTTGTTAGTTGCTGATTAATTGTTCTTGGATTTTCTGTCATAAGTTCAGTTGAGAAAGTATTTGGAGATGATCCTATCAAGTCATTGCATGCATTACTTAGTTGTTATGTTCTCCTACTCTTCTCTTCGTTGTCTTGTGACTTTTTTTTCCTTTCCTTAATAACATGTTGACCTTTCAAACTACAGATTCGACTGCAAGAAGTTTTGTAGAGACTGCAGAAGAAATGTTATTCGGGAGTTTAAAGAACTTAAGGAACTTAAACGAATGCAGAGAGAACCAAGATGTACCGACTGGTTTTGTGTTGCCGATACAGCCTTTCAGTATGAGGTCTTTTATCTTTCTTAACCTTTTCTTCTTACTGTGGATTCCTATATTCTATAAGACAGTATCACTGGTTTTCAAAAGTAAATTTATCAATATACCTGAGAGGCTTATATTGCAAGGTAGAATCAAAAGTGTAATTGCAATTTCTCAGGTGGACATTGATTCCGTCCGAGCAGATTGGAGTCAATATTTTACAGAGAATGCTGGATATCATCAATTCGAGTTGGCTATTGGAACTGGAGAAGGAGAATCTGATATCCGCGAGTTCAAATACGTAGGCAATGATCGGAGTGCCCAAGTCAATGGCCTAGACCTTCGTGGATTACACGAATGCTACATTACTCTTAGGGCTTTTAAAAAAAATGGCCGCTCCTCGGAAATATCTGTCAAAGCCCATGCATTGAGAGGCCAACAGTGCGTTCACTCCAGGCTTGTGGTTGGGGATGGCTTTGTTTCAATTAAAAGAGGGGAATGCATTCGAATGTTTTTTGAGCATGCTGAAGAGGCTGAGGAAGAAGAGGTAAATTGAGGATTTATAAGCTTTGTGACTGATAGCCTTCAGATATCTACAAATTTGCAGATATGATATCTCCTTGTTGAAATATTATTATTGTATTTCCAATGCTTTATAAGGATGAAGTCATGATAGACAAAGATGGAAATGAGCTTGATGGTGAGTGCTTGCGTCCACAAAAGCATGCTAAGAGTCCAGAACTTGCTCGAGAGTTTCTTCTAGATGCTGCAACTGTTATTTTCAAGGAGCAGGTTAGTAATAGATTCCTCTAAGTTTACCTTCCATTAATTGTTATTTTGGGCTGTATTTAGGTGTATTCATTTCTATCTATTCGTAATAATATCTTAGGTTGAAAAGGCATTTAGGGATGGTACAGCCCGTCAAAATGCGCACAGTATATTTGTCTGCCTTTCATCGAAACTATTAGAGCAACGTGTTCATATTGCCTGCAAGGAAATTGTCACCTTGGAGAAGCAGGTTTGTTCGCCATCTTGATTGGATTATTTTTGACAATCTACTCAATTTAACAAGACATTTACGCTTTCATCTGTCCAACAACTCCATCATCTCAACACTTGCAGAACAAACTTCTTGAGGAAGAAGAGAAAGAAAAGCGTGAAGAAGAGGAGCGAAAAGAAAGGAAACGAATTAAAGAAAGGGAGAAAAAACTTCGTAGAAAGGAGAGATTGAAGGAAAAAGAACGAGAAAAAGAGCAGAAGAATCCAAAATTTAGTGATGAAGCAATACTGCCAAATATGTCAAGGAAAGAAGAATGCTCTCCAAATCTTGATGAGGAAAATAACAATACCATAAGATGCGAGGAGTCCGGAATTGAAAATGGAAATGTAGATTTGTCTTCACCTGGTTCTCCTGATGATCAAGATGAAGAGTGTTTGGATGGTTACGCTTCTCCTAGAGCTGAAACCCACTCTTGTGATAGCACTGATAGGGAGATTATAGATCATGAAGATGAAAACGGCTGCTTTACACATGAAAATCCAAGACCTGCTCACCAGACAGCAAGATTATGGAAAGAGGTTCAGACTGATCATGCTTTGAGATGGTCAGAAAAACGCAGATTTACAGAGAATGCTTCTTCTGTCAGTAGTGCTGAGGCAGGATACTGTAATGATAGATTAGAAATGCCTTCACGACACTTCAATGGGTCAGAAAAAAATTTGAGAGTGAAAGCTTTGAAAACTGGTGGTAGCCCAGATAGCATTAGGTCTCATGAGGAGTTTCAGTGTTCAGACGACAGGACTGGGGAGAGGTATGATCACCATTCTTGCAGTTTTAAACCCATGAATGGTTTCCGGGAAAATGTAGAGTCTAATCTATCTGCAACCAGAGGCATGCGAGAACCCAAATCAGAGTCTGATCTGGATGTCTCCAAGCTTAACCGAGCCAATAGGTATAATCAATCAGGCTATAGACGAGAGATAAGAAGTAAAATGAATAACAGTCGAAACGCTTGTAAGATGGATCCAGTAAATGCGAGAAAGGTCTTGGACTCCGTGGAGCTGAAGCATCCACGAAACAGCTCAAACTCTGACGTATCATCACTTACATGTTCAACATACAAGGCAGAAGAGATTGAAGATGTAAGTCCCACTGTGAAGTCAGCTTGCACACTGTCTCTATGCAAGGCTACAGATAAGTTGGGTAATGGGAATCTTAATAATTCAACCGAGGTAGACAAGATGGAAGTTCACATAACACTGAAGAATGATTACCTGTACTCGAAAGATCCTATGATGAGTAGAACTTCCAGTTCAGACAATTGCTCTTCATGTCCCAGTGAAGGAGATAGCAATACAGCTTCTTCAAACAACGGAAACATTGAATCCTCCTCGTTGTCTGATTCCGAAGATTCCAGTCAGCAATCTGAAGGAAGAGAGAATCTAGTGGATATGCCCGACTGTCACGAGAAGATGGTAGAGAAAGTGACAGAGATGAGAATGGATGAAAGAGATGTTTTAAGGATTAAGAATATGTCTAACCTTCCAGCTGACAACGGGGAAAGTAAATTATCAGGAACTCCTTTTATGGTTCCTAGCCAAAACATGGAAAATATGGTACCAGGTGTTAATACTGGTTCCTACCTATCGCAGCCACAAAACATGATGTTCCCCCAGATGCTTAACCAGAGTATACCATTGCCAGTCTTCCAGGCTCCTTCAACAATGGGTTACTATCATCAAGCTCCAGTCTCTTGGTCTTCAGCTCCAGCCAACGGATTAATGCAATTCCCTCATCCTAACCATTATGTATACACTGGTCCTCTTGGATACAGTCTGAATGGAGAGTCTCCTTTATGCGTGCAGTACGGCACCCCATTGAGCCATTCAGCAGCCCCTTTCTTCAATTCCGGGGCAGTTCCAGTTTTCCATCCGTATGCTGAAACCACCACAATGAACACTGTTGACCAAGCTCAAGCTCTTGAGCCATTGGAACACAGTTTTCTGAAGGAAGCAAATGAGAGGAAGTTAAACGAAATGCCTCCAATGGAAACTCCAAGGAGAGGAGGTCTACAACATGATAGTGATGAGAACTTCTCCTTGTTCCACTTTGGTGGCCCGGTTGCTCTGTCCACAGGAAGTAAATCGAATCCTGCTCGTTCGAAAGATGGGATTTTGGGGGATTTCTCGTTGCAGTTCTCAGGAGATCATGTTTTTGGTGATCCAACCGGCAATAGCAAGAAGGATAAAGAGAACACAGTTGGTGAAGAGTACAACTTGTTTGCGACAAGTAACAGTTTGAGGTTTTCTATCTTCTAAAGTCTTTTATACAATTTCTTGGATTGTTTGGCGTCATGGAGAACGCAGTAAAATACCTTTGGTTGTTTTATTTCATGTAAAGATCTCTTCATATTTCAAAGGTTTTGTTTTACTCAAAATGAATAATTCTCCATTGTTGGGTGTATATTTCATCACAACACAACAGGGAAAAAATATAATCTCATACAAAAGATCTATGATATTCTCTTGACATAATCTATTGTTTGAAGGATTTCAGAACAGCTAGATAAAGTCCTTGCTCATCAACAAACTGGGTTAGCTCAAATGAACGCTTCTTAGCAACATTCCTCAATGTGGAATCATCAGGTAAATCAGAGACGACCACATCTGAAAACTCTTTCCTTTGCTGCTCCAAGCCTTGTCTACCTTGCGGGTGACTGATTACTACTCTTGCACCTGTTACAAGCATTAGACCGGACAAGTGTTAGCAACTAAGACCCCAACAAGTGTCAGCCTGAGACATAGAGAATCAAGTACCTGAGGAACAACGTTGAGAGAGTGTCTTGAACAGGTCGTCGAGGTCAAAAGGCAAAGCTGGAAGAAAGTAGAGAAACACAGCGTCTAAAGGAGACCATTTCTCAGGGACATAGATCAATTCTCCTTGCCAACATTTGACTTTGTCGTACTTCTCTTTGACACAGGCTAACGTAAAAAGGGAGTCATGGACAATAAGCAAGAGCTGAGAAGGTGAAGATTCCACCAAACGATCAACGAAGGCCTCTGAGCTAATTGAAACCAAAACCCTCGAAGATTCCGATATTTCTCCAGCCTTTATGATCCTTTCGATCTTCTGGGTATGTTCAGTGGATTCAATTTCCATAGATTCGAGAAAGGACCAATCTTTCTCATGGAAATCGAACACTGACACTGTTCCCTCTGGAGGAGAGCTTGAAGAAACACAAAACGCTCTGTAACGAGAGACATTAGACTGAGAGAATGAGAGATGTTGAGGAGAAAAGAAGTGACTTTGAAGACGATTTAGCTTCTTAGGTTGCAAAGAGAGACGACACGAAGAATCAAAAGCAACGAGAGAAGGTAAAGATGAAGATGGAAACGAAAGAGAGTACATTGATAAACTGCAGCTTCTGTACTAATCGAAGATAGCAGTGAGAATTTTGTAGGGCATCTCGAATTCGGGAAGACGATGATGTAATAATGTCTTTATTTGGGCCGAGATAAGAAAGCCCATAAGGCCCATTAGTTTATTAGTTGTTGTAACTAAAGGCTAAGCTTCAGTTATGGCGTAGCAACGGTGGAATAACACTCGGAAGAGAAGAGAGACGGTGATCGGAGATATAGATTGAGGATGGGAACGAGACAAGTATACGAAGAGAAGCTTCGCCGTGGGAATCTTGATTATGATCCGACTATGAATCCTGGTCTTGGTTCTGCTCGCTGTCCTCGTTGTCTTTCTCTCTTAAACCCTAATTCTGTGAGTTGCCCAAGTTTCTACAGTGTTTTGTGGTTTTGTGTTACAAGGGTCTGAAAATCATGTTCTTGTGAATAAATTTCTCAGGAGAAAGGAGAGTGGACGATAACTCCAGTTTTGCACGATGCTGCTGCAGTGGTCAGTTTTAGCATTTCTATCTCTTTTGAAATTCACTTCAGTCTCCGTTTCAATTATGTGATTAGTTTAAGTGAAAGTTTGTCTTGTTTCCTGCTTCTTAAATATATGCGCGGATTGTTGTTTTGGACTCTTGGTTTGTGGGTAATCAGCTGAATTCAGATGAAATTATGTTGTGAATGAGAATTTGCATTCTAGCTTTAGGCGATTGCGTTGTGATTTTTGGTTTGCTCTGCTGTTCATGTAAAGGTTTAACCTTTTTTTGCATTGACTTCGGAGATGGCCTTTTGGATTGTTAATTTTGTCTGTTGCCATGTTTGATTACTTTTGTGTTTAAGTTATTAATCATTGGAAATGTTTTGTGTTGGCTGTTGGGTGCAGAGCATCATATTCCAATTATCCTTCCGTTCACAGAATTGTGATTCAGAATATTGTGTATTGACTTTTTACTTAGTATTCTTTGGTTGAAAGTACCATGAGTCTTGGCTTTTTCGTTAGCATGGATATCGAGTTATCTTGTTGTGCATTTAGCTGTACTACTCTGTTTCTAACTAGGTGTCTCCTGTGCTATAGGCTGGTTCTGGTATTGGTGGCTTGCTTAGTGCCGTACATGCTTTCAATACAGGTATCACATGATTCTCTTGCCGTCAAATACTTATCATTTCTACAGTGGATCTCATCTCTCTGGGTGTTCAGGGATCCCCTATCTTCAAAATCGGTTTCCCGGGTCAAAGCGGCTCTCCTTTCTTGTTGGGGTATGTATTTTCTCTTGCCCTGTCTGGTAGTTCTGGAATTCTGCCTGTTTCTCTTTGTCTGTTTACAGTACCTTGTATTAATTTTCTTTGCTTCTCACTTATTACTTTTCCTTATAGGTTCCATTGCTGCTAGTATATTCAGGTGTAGGGGCTGCTTTTGGAGGTAGCATAATCTTCTTTGTCTCACTCGCTTCTCTTGTGCCTAAATATCTATTGTGTATATGCATTAGTGATTAAATGTCTGTGCTTTGTCCTGAATTTTTGTGAATGGCCTTCACATGTTGTGTTTTGAACTTATGTTGTTCTGTTAGCGCCTTTTGTAGTTGTAGCTTTTTAAAGCAAGAAAGTTTACGAGCCGTGATAATTTTTCCGCTATTGTATGGTTAGAATACGAATCAAGATGTGCTGCACAGTATAGAATTGCAACTTTTACCTTTAGGTGAATTACTTGCATTAATGATTTACCCATCAAGAGGATTGGTTTTCCTCTTATCTGTTTAAAAATTTCAAATGCCAGGTGGTAGTGTGTATGTTAGTAGCTTTGCGCAGTCTTTTTTTTTTATGTACCCGGTATATATGTATATACATCTGTCTGTTTTCGTTCAAGAAAGCACCTGAACTTTTGTTTGTGTACAATATTTGGTAGGTTATGCACTTCCAAAGTTTGCTCAGCTGACAGTTACCTCGTATTATGCATCTTCAAGTGCTTCACATTATGGAATTTCTATGCTCACCCGCCGTATCGAAGAAGCTCATCTCTCTCGAACGCAGAAAGAAGAGGTAAAATGAAGTCATGCACAGATAAACGAGAATCTATTCCACTCCTCTAGCTGAGGCAGCTTATTTCAGGATCTCTTTGGTTATTCGGTTACCTTTTCAAGTCACATTCTTGAGAACCACATCTATAATGTTAATTCCTCAACATAGTTATACCAAATATAAAGTCTTTTAGTTCCTCTCCATCTTCAGTTTTTGGTTTCTGTTGCCGTCTTCATAACTGCTTCTTTTCCCTGTTCATTGGTAATGACATGGTATTTGATTCTTGAATATATTATAGTGTTTATACAATATCCTCCTGATCCATTTTACAAGCAGTCATGGAACTATATGAACCATGTTTTCTCAGTGGCTACCTTTACATATGAATCCAACTTTCGTTATTACTTTTGATATGTTTGTCCTGAATTCTGACAACATCGTCTGAGATTCCGGGTGATGGTAGCAATGGTAGCAAGCTTAGATGTTGTAAATTAGTAGTATAAAAAATCAGAGTCCCAAGGATTGAACCACATGGTCTATAAGGTAGGTGGAACTTTGTATATGTAGCTTTGGTCACCAAAATGAGACCATTTTGGCAGGTTGCAGTGTTATGTAAATGAGATTGAGTGAGTTTTATTTCTGAAGGGGTTTGAGATGTGTACTGTTCGAACTATCATCCTCAAGTTGCAACTTTCCTAGGGTTGTGGGCCGATGTTCCTTAAATTCCACTAGTCCTTTTTACGTATCTAAAAAAAAACAAGAGAGCAGAGAAAGTGGTCCTAAGGTTATATAATGTGTATGCTCTTCACACGTCTTTATTATGTGCTTCTTTTATCATGTTGTTCATCACATGCTTCCTTCTCCATTGCATTAACTAGTGGGGTCCTTTTATAGCTGCTCTTGATGTTAACTCTTTGACAGCATTCATTCACTGAGTATCCTTAAATTTCCATAATTTGATAAAACCATCACGTAATTCTCAAAGGTACTGTGCTCTCTGGTTTAACCTCTGCAGTTTGTATCCAAATAACTGTTTCCAGGAGGGCACATATGTCTTCTTCTTTTTTGCGTTTGGTTTTTTGTTCCCATGTGATGTGATATACATCCTTATTGCAATAGTTTGCATATGACTTGTCTAGAAAACCTTATCTCTCCTCCTTTTGATTGACAGGCTGAGTTTGCACCGTTTGGTCCTTCCCCGTAAGACAGCGACTGTCCTGTTCCACGGCTAAAGACTTAAGGTCAGAAATGTTCCAATGTCACTTTCTGCAACCTGTTATCACAATAATCTGCTGAGACTCGTTTGAAATCTTTAGGATAATTGATAGTATTATAAGACGTACACTCCTTGCGTTAGTTGATTAGTTACACATTAGCAATCATGCTACAACATTTCACGACATAAATAAGTAGGAGAAGGAGAAGTATTCCCTATAACCTCAAGAGTATCCAAAGTTGTTCTTTTGGAATTATCACTCTAGTAGACTTGATAGAGTGAGATTAGCTGTCGTTTAACTTTTATATATCGGTTAGCTTTGATATAAAATGTATCCCAGCTGGTAATTCTAAAGCAAATAGGCGTTATATATATGTAACCATCATGAGTTCTTATTGTAGTATATTTCTAGTGTGAGGCAATGCTACATATATCTGTGATTGAAGTCTTGCCAAAACTGGAAAAGTCAAGCATTTGAATTTCTTGGTCTATGCAAAAGTCGTAGCTAAATATATATGGTTGTCTTTAATGTATGATTAGTGTAATACATTGAAGGTCATATGTTAGGTACGAGGATTGATATCATTGCTTCTTCTGAGATATACGATTGTGATTCTTGTAGGCCTTGGTCATATGGACTTCATTCAAAGTCTGTTCTCTTGAGGCAATAAGAAAAAAACATGGTCATGTGCCGCGGCTCCTAACTACTCTTTTTTTTTTTTTTTTTTTTTTGAAGTCCATTATTATATTTTGATCATGGTATATGGGTAGAGAGAGAGATGGACAAGTAAATATGGTATACAGCTTGTTGTTGTTGATGATTCTCTTTGAATTGCCCAAAAAAAGGTTTGAAAAGAAACTAAAGAAGAAAGCTTTTGAGGAAAGGCTTTAGCTTTAGGTTCTGTGTGTTGAGAAAGATGTGAAAGCTCTCTGTGGCTAACTCTACATTTGTAATCATGGACCACTTTCACTTCTCAACTCTCTCTCTCTCTCTCTCTCCCCTTTTGTCTTGTCCATTGTCTTCAGTGATCCCCACAGTCACCGAATCATCATCAACATCTGCATTTACCCATCCTTCGTTGCCTCTTGATTCGGTAAAAGACCGTTTAATTAGACAGAGACCCTAAGCATTTTGTATCTAAAGAGGCTTCTGGGTTTTTAATGGTTAAGACTTAAGACACAATTTTGACTTCAATTTCTCGACTGCAACAACAGAGAGAAAGTACGTGTGACTTCTATGGCCCTTATATTAATGTTCCTCTTTCTCTGAAAGTTATAGAAGAGTCTTGAAGGAAGCCATAACAGAAGAACTCAGAAGTGAACAGATGAAAACAAACAAAAAATGATAATAATTGTATCATTCACATTTCACACACACGTGAGAGGAAATTAAATGGATGAACATATTTTACTAATTAATCAAAATATTATTCCCTTTATTAATAATATAAACTCAGATTGTGAAAACCTCAAAAGAGGTTCAAGATCTACATCCCAAGCCGGTTCTCTTTTTTTTCTCTTCAACACTCTCAAAAGAATTGGCTTCAGCGATCAACGAGTCTCTCATCACAGCTCAAGTTAAAATGATATTGAGAGATAAAAAAAATAAAAAGTCAGAGATGAAGATCGAGACTCACATGATCTTGCACATTGGGTTTCATCAATCTGTACGGCCAGTTATTAGGCTCCTTAGTCTCTTGCTCATGCGTCCTAAACACTGAAGCTGGTGAAGATGAGTAAACGCCTTGAATAGCGTTTGTTGACGTGGAAGGCGGTACACGCCACACACCTAAGGGACTTCCGTTGATTGTCGGCGGGTTAGAACAAGGAGGGGCAAGAGTACTCCTTGAGTAGTACGACGACGTTTGATGTCCCGGCCCTCCACCGTAGTATGATCTAGCTTCCGTCGTCCACGACGGATAGTGACGGTGGTGGTGGTTGTTGAGGAAGCCGTAGACGTGGTGAGGGTCATGAGGCTGATGATGATGGTGAAGATATGATGTCATGGAACCTCGTTTGGCGTGTTGACGTTCACGTTTGTGAGCGTTTTGGTGTCCACCTAGGGCTTGAGAAGTTGGGAAGTTTCTGAAGCAGTAGTGACATTCGAATCTCCTGCTGTTGTTATTATCTTTGTCTTTGTCTTTGTCCTTGATATTCTCAGAGCTCTCATCGTTCTTGGTAGTGGTTTGATCAGAAGATTCCGCGGATAAGTTCTCTGAGTCACCTCCGACGAGTTCTTGGCCGAAGAGACGAATAATGGCGGCTTTTTCTTTGGGCGGAGTACGGCGGATGAAAGGAAGCTGAGAGAAGGATTCAACGTTGACGTTCATGAAATCGTGAGTTTCTCTTCGTCCGTTGGTTTCGTCCATGGAAGAGAGATCAGAGAGAGAGAAAGATGAGTGAGTTTGAGACGAATGAGGTTGACTGTTTCAGAGACAGAAAGACAAAAGATGAGGTTTTGCATTAATTTAAAGAGAGGTTCCCCAAATTCTTTTTTTAAGGTAAATAATTGCTATTTTAACCAGCATGGCCGCGTGCGTCATTTTACGTTTATCCACCTATAGCTAAGCCTGATCCGTATTTCACTTGCATATTTCAAAAAATCAATTCTACAACTTTAGCTTTTTTAATGTCAAAACCGGTGATCTCGAACCAAATTTCATACTAATTCTTTTTTTATATTTCAAACGTGTGCTATTTTTTATTTTTTTACCTTTTTTCCAACAATTAATAAACATACACATTTTATGTTTAACTTTGTCTATGATCCATATTTAGATTTTCATTAATAAAAAAGATATAACAAATAAACATTTGCTGCCAAATTAACAATAAAAAAAAAAAAGATATAACAATTAACTCTTAGACTCAAGTTTAACCATTAGTCATTGGACGCAATTTCACGTATATATATAAGATCTTCATGTTCCAACGTAAGAGGAAATTAGAACGTAAATATGTATTATCATATGTATAGTTAGATTTTTCTTTTTTAAAATTTATTTTATTCATGTTTATATAAACCTAAAACTAAAATTGTGGTTGACAAAAAAATAATACACTAATTAGCATACGAGACGTAAATAGGGGGAAAAAGACATATATAGTACTATATATGATTACAATTTTATTTTGTGTACATAAAGTAATGTGTTTAAATTGTAGCTTACTATGAATCTATGATGGTTAATATGTACCGTGTCACGGTAGGTAAAATAGCCGGATAAAATCAATCAACATATAGGGAGACCTCTAATCTACATTCACTTCCCCTACCCAATCTCTCATAGTCTCACACACATACACATACATATATGTATATATATATATATACGTGCATTGCATATATCCATCTCATCAATCCTCCTTTTTCAAAGTTATCTCCTTTTTAGTTAGTTGTTTCTTAAAGTGATTCCTGCAAATGTTGAAACTAAGACAAAAAGCTTGCCAAATTGGTCGTAAGCAGATGAATGGGGTCACAGTGAGTAATGACATGAACTAAAAAGAGTGAGAGTTTGTAGGTAAGAGATCATTAGCAAGGTGAAGTTAGGTGTGTACTCTTTAACATCACGGACCTATTTTGTTATTATATCTACGTATAAGTACATGGATTTTACTACTAATAGAGAGAGAGAAATAGAAAGACCTAATTAAAGAGAGCTCTATCTTCTCTCTCAAGGACCAGACTTTTAGTCTCTTGGATGTTTTGTCTCTTTGATGCAAAGATGATCTTACACAAAGAGAGAGAGAGGTGGTCCATGTACATGATCATTATTCATTAATGATGCTCATAATCAACTAGTTGATGTCATCACCAGATAGTTAAACAAATTAAAAGATTGAGCCTTTGTTTTGTAGAGATCACATCATATATTATCAATATGCATGTAATCTGTTAATACTTATCAACTCGATCAATCATATCCACGTCTTCTTCATCATGAACTATATATAGATTCCCTTTATGCTCGTCTACACGACTACACTCTTTTTTTTTATATATCTTTGGATCGACAAGGCCTGATCCATAGTCAATCCCTACTACGCGGGGTAACGCGACTTAGTGGAATCGAACTCCGGTGGGAAAGGCGGAATCAAATGGACTTAACCACTTGACTAAATGCACATCCCCTACACGACTACACTCTAAATTTCGATATAATTCAATTTTAAAGCCCATAGCCCCATACCATTAATTTTGACAATATACATTCCCTGATTATGGCACACAAATAATGTATATATTGCTAATATTAAGGACTATAAAACTCATTAATCCCTAATCTGACGTTTTTTTCTTTTCTTTGACGATTCCCAAAATCCCAATTGAGTATGACGTTTAATTAGTTGTTTTGAGCGGTAAACATTTCCTCCTATCCAATGGTTGATCAAATTACTAAGCAGTCTAAGCCAATCCTATGAATATGAATATCTTGTAAACTAATGCTGATTGCTGACTATTCAAAGTTTCATCATATAGTACGTATCGAATCATCTCTTATCGTTCTATATACTCTAATATGGATCATCCATTTGTGGATAGATAAACTATTCTTTTTTTTTGGTCAACAGTTAAACTATTCTCCTATAAAGTTTTTGTTATTTATAATTTTTAAATTAAATGATGTAAGCGAATTTTTTTCTTTTTTTTCTCCAATTTTTTTCAGACGGATTCCCTATAAAATCTAACGTTGTAAGTGACTTCCTCACATATATAAACTTACGGATTCACATAACGTGTGTGAGGTATATATAAGTAATCAAAAGCTTATTGTGAGAAAGGAAATAAATTCAACTATGGTAATAATGTCCATGCGAATGCTGGTCCCAAAGTACATTAATTTACATACATAATTTTGCAGATTTTGGACTTCACATGACGAGTCCACATCTCTTTTATTTTTCCACAAACAATACACATTAGTAAACCCTTTTTAAACCTAACATGCGATTTTAAATTTAAACTTATCAGAGATCCTTGGCATGCATATGAAAGTTTTAAATGATAATTAAATGAAAAATGAAAGTTTTATATCAGTAATATAGTTAATGATAAAAAAATTTAGTATTCTTCTAATATTTTAGAAAAATATCTAAGGGAAATTAATTTCTACAACCAAATTTTGTCAAATCTCTTCGATCATAATAGTCCCTTTTAGTTAGATATCTGAATTTTTGTGATAAATAAGATCGAAATCTATAAAAAAAAACTTGGACACTGATTTTTTTTTGTCTTAAGCTAAGTCTTAATTCAGTGTCTAATATACTTGCGTCACAATATAATATTTTTAAAATCTCTTAAAATGTAATTGGGTCCCATGAATGGCATTTTGAACCCCACAAAAAAACATGCACTTAAAAGCCCACAAATCTCCCAAACCCTAACAGCAACTCTTCATTGAATCATGCAATTGCAAACCTCTTTGCTTTGCCATTAAAGTCACAGTCATATGCTCAGAGATTTAATGGCTTTTATTGAGGGGACCATATCTCTCACTTTCTTGCCCTCACATCCATTTCTTGGATTCAACTCCTCCACTCTTATATACACATATGTATGCAAATTCCCTCCTTATTTATTTTTCTGAAATGAAATTTGATGAAATGTTTGGGCCAGTAATAAATAATAAAGATAATAAATATGAAAGATGAGAAAAAGAGTCTAGATTTTGAGGGACAAGCATATCTTGTCCTTTTCGTTATATGTGACCTCACAATGTTCAGCTATATATAAGGACCGAACTTCAAAGTAATATAGAAAATAAATGGTGAAAGATATTTTAGTTTAAGTAGAAGAAAACAGAAAATAAGAATGAGAGGAACCCCAAAATTAAAAGCTATAGAACAAATGCAAGTGGAGTTAAAAACAACATGAAGAGCTCACCGGTCTCTTTCATTTTTAAACAATCTACTCTTAACTCTCCATCACTTCATCTCGAACTCATGACCAAACTCATGATTAATTTTTTTATGTACAATAATGATAAGATCAATTAATATCTCACGGTGTGATCTTCATTATATGCATTACAAAGAGGATGAATTTTTTCACTAGTAAATGAAAACAAGTTTGCGTTTAACCGACTCTATGTTTTTACCAAGAGGTACCTTTCTAATAGATTTAGCGAATACTTTTACCATGAAAAAAAATGAGAGAGTTGAAATAAGCATTAAGAAGAAAAAAAACATGATTGAATGAGTAAGATAAATTTATAGGTGGTGACAACAACATATGAATAGAATGGGCTCTCTCAACCGTATATATGTGTCTGTGAAATGTCAATGTAAAAGGATAAACATACATACAAATGTGAAATGTGTATTATTATAGCTTTTGGGAGGTCTAAAGCTTTTGGTGGGTTTGTGATTATCATTATTGTCTGAAACTGATATGGGTCTTGTTTCTTTTAATTGGACCACCATTTATGAATATTCCTATACATATATGTATGTGTGTATGTGAGAGCATCTTTTCAGATGATGGTTTTAACAATGTATGTGGGCAACTTTCTCTAGATTAATATTATGTGATATGTCTCCGGCCCTCTTGTCAATTTTCTTTCTTTTTAATATGATTTTTTTAATTTTAATATTAGATATCCCTCGTGCTGGGAAATGAGTCAATTATATATTTTTTTTGTCAACAGTTATATATTTAATACTTATATCATTTTGTTGCTCTCAGTATATTTTGGTTAGAAACCTAAAACCAGTTTTATAATTTTAGCCTATAGTGGTTACATAGGTAGCTAGACTAGTCGAGTTTGGAAAGCTCTTGAGGAAGAACCTGACCAGACCTTGAGTTCGAATACTACGGGAAAGGGTTAATTTACATATCATGATCTCTACCCAAAAAAGCTATGGTTGTTGCCTGTTGGTGATTGCATAACAAAAAATAAAATAGGGAATTCCATTTTTACTACGAGGCTTTATGGGTGGGTTGAATCTTGAATTGGCCTTTTGTGACGGCCCATATGTTTGAACCTTTCGTTGTTGAGATCCACAAAGCTATTATTAATCTGAAAGAAATTGTACAACTACTAGCTACAATCAATTTTGGTTAATCGAATGTAAGTAAGTAGAGCTTTTTTCTAATATTATCAATAAGTGACAGAAAAACAGAAAAAAAATCGTAAAATTAGAAATAATTACCAATAAATTTCATATGAATTGGAACATATATATCAATAAATTTCATGACATGCAATTTTCTAAATTGCAAACTATTGAACGGGAACAAAATCGGATCTTGGGGGTCTCGGAGGAACAATTTTCACTTTTAGGGGTTTGTTCGAGACTTTCTTAAACTGTTGGGGCTTTTGTGAAATAACCTTCAATTTCAGTGGCTTCGTTGGAATATCTTTCAATATCGGGGGAGGGTTTCTGAGCCTCACACCATCCCCGTCCTCTCTCCGGCGGCGGTGGCAGAAACCATCTTCTCATCTCTGACGAAAAACGGATGCAACAACAACTCGGAAGCTGTTCCTCTCTCCTCAGGTTTTCTTGCGAAACACTTCTCCAAAAACAGTCTTGCATCACACGGCACAGTCTCTGGAATTTCTGGTGCCTTATTATCCAAAAGAAGAGACTGAACATCTTTATCAAACCCTAACCATGGCCGTTTACCGGTATACATCTCCAACACTATGCAACCAAGTGACCACAAATCTAGGGTTTTCTCAACGGTGGTGCCGTCGCGGACTGACTCCGGAGACATGTAGATAGACGTTCCGACCCACGGTTCATCGATTCGCCAACAATCAGATTTGTCTCCGGCCCTTGTCGATATTCCGAAATCCGAAATCTTCAATTCGTAAGAACAATTCCACGTTTCTTTATCGTAAATAGGAAAAAGAAGGATATTGTCCGGTTTAAGATCACAATGAACATAACCATGACTATGAATCGAGACCAATCCTTTTAGAATCATACGAGTAAAGTCTTTAATAACCGAATCTGACAACTTTGTTCTGTTTCTTTGGATGAAATTAGTTAAAGTACCAGCAGCTGCATACTCCATTGACATCTTGTAAACTTTTCTTCCATTGCAATCGGTTCCTTGAACAAGAGAGTTCCCACACAATTGCACGATACAAGGACATCCTCTGAGTTCCGACAGAATTCGAAACTCTTGGTCTATAGAACCGTAGTTCTCAGAGTCCATGATCTTCACTGCGTTGTAGAGCAATGATCCGTCGTTTTGTTTGTGGCTGAAGAGCTCGACGGAGCCGTAAGTACCCTTTCCCAAAACCTTCACCAACTCCATCTCCGGCGGCATAATTTGCGATTGCTTTTCTCTGATCACTCTCTCGCGTGATCTGTAAGTTTTTCGTTTCATTATTCTCAATTGAAAGATGAAAATCTGAAACCCTCAAAATTTCTTTGCTCTGATCAATCTCTCTGGTTACTTTGTTATCTAACTCCTAATTTATAACTAAACCCTAGAGAACAACGAATGACTCGAGATTAATAAGAAATCAAATGAAGCCCTAATTCGATCACGATTTTGGTTTGCTGAAATTTTTTTGGAAATTTTCTGATTAGTAAATAAATAAATAAAATAAGGAAATATCTTGGAAAATAAGGAAAATACATTCAAACCAACTATTATAAGAGTCAGTGATATACCAAAAACTATTACATGATTCTACTAATAAATAAAAATGTAAATGAATCAATATCAGTGTTGACCAAGAACAACATTAGGTCCCCAGGGCTCTTTGCAGAGCTCATCAACTTCAAATCAACACATACTCCTAATTTCCGAAAGCATCTGTCTACATTTCTCCAGTTGCAGGGTGAAATCATCCGGATTTTCAATCTTCACATTCATCTGAAGCTTTTTGAACTTATTGTCATCTCCACGCAAGAAGCTTTGCCTCAACAATGTCAATGCGTCTTTTCTCTCATCAGGCTCAACCGCAAAGCAGGTCATGAGAAAGAGTTTTGCATCGCAAGAAAGATCACGGGGAAACAATGGCTCGTAACACTTCATGAGATCTTCTAAGTCATAGTTATTATGCCACCATGGTCTCTTTCCAGTGTACATCTCCAATACGACACATCCCAACGACCATAAATCAAGTCCTTTCCCTATCTCACCGTGAGAGATCGACTCCGGCGACATATAGATCGGTGTTCCCGCAAACGGTTGACGAGGATGCCACCACTTAGTGTCTCCATCTCTTTTCGACAACCCGAAATCAGAAAACTTCAATTCGTAAGACGATCTCCACGCGCCGTTCTTGTAGACAGAACTAGGGAAAACAAGGATATTTTCAGGTTTGAGATCGCAGTGAACATAGCCGTGTTTGTGAATTGTGGCCAAACCCTCGAGAAGCATACGAGTAAAGTCTCTGATCATCGGATCAGGCAATTTCCTGTCTTTGAATCGGTCCATGAAATTGCTCAAGCTTCCTCCAGCTGCGTACTCCATGGCAATCTTGTACTCTACGTAACCCTTGTTGTTAAATCTCTCTTTTACTCCATTACCGTAGCATTGGACGATTCTCGAACAGCCCTTGAATTCAGACAGGATCTGAAACTCTTTGTGGAGAGACTTAGCGTTTTTGTCGTCAGAGGTTTTCACGGCGGCGTAGAGAGTCTCGCCGTCGCGTCGTCCTTTGTACTTGAAAAGACTCACCGAACCAAACGAACCTTTTCCCAGATACCTTTCGTACTCCAAATCCAACGCCACCATCGCAAATAGAACGATTGATTCTTCTGATAGCTTTGGCAACAAACTTTTAAGAAAAACCTTAAGTGAAAGTGAAATCTGAGAATTTGTGATAGCTTGGGATTGAAGTCTCAAACAGATAGATATAAGCAATTAATACGAGAACTAACCAACTTCATTCACAATTTCCTTTTTATTTTCTGTTTTTTTTTTTTAATTTATTTACATGGAAGATATAGATAGAAAGATTTCCTTTTTTTCGGAATGGAAAATTGAGCTATGGAAAAAAGGAAATAACAAAAAAGTATTGTTGTGGTTTTTACTTTTTTCTAGGTAACAACAACACTTATCATCAATTTTTTTTAATTTTTTGTTAAAGGATATTCTACTAAATCATCAAATATTAATATTATCAAACAAAAATAAAATAAACAACATTAATCATTAATTGAGCTTTTTTGTTTATTCTTGATAATTTGGAAATCTGTTGACCTGAAAGATAGAATCTGAAAAAAGTGCAGTAATTGAAATTAACCCCAAGGAAGAGTCGTAATCAGGAAATTTTTTGAATTACTTGATAAATGTTAGTTGTTATTATAAAGAAGAAAAAAAAGTTGTTAGTTGTTATTTATTAGAGAAAGTTTAATATCTGGAGATCAATATTTAACGGGAAAAAACATTATGGCATTAATTTGCCGATCGAGAGAAAAATAAATTTATGTAAATTTTTAAACAAAAAGGAAAGTGATTTAACAAAAAACAAAAGGAATGTATAAGATCTGCCGTTGCTCCTACCAACAGCGAATCCAAACTGTTGGATCTATTATGGGATTTCATGGATTTTGTTTTTAATTTATAAGAGTCCAGTATACGTATACCCTTCTTTTGACGGTTTCGTATTGGTTCTTTGCCTAACAATATTTGTTTTACACTTTGGACTCTTAATAAATTAACATACAACATTATTCAATGTAATATTTTTATTACTATTATTTATTACTCCCTTCATTTCGTTTTAGTTGTCGTTTAAGGTTTTCTCACACATATTAAGAAAATCATTAAATTTTCTGTTTTACCCTTTATTAATATATTTTATAAAAAAATCCATTAGCCGAAACATTAAAACAGTAGGGATAAAACTGGAATTTTCATAAAACATTTGCATCGAAAACCTAAAACGACAACTATTATGAAACAAAATTTTAACTCAAAACGACAAGTTTCGAGGGAGTACAAATAATCAAGAACTGTATCACTTTCTCGACTATAAATACGAATGACTATAAAAGAAAAGAAAATTAATAAATCCTGTAACCTCGGGTCAAAATTTGAAATTAATCAAATAGAACCTCGGGTCAAAATTTGACTCAAATTTATAGAACTCAAAATTATTCTTGGATATGAAACAGATATCCAGAAATTTTATAACAATTAAATTTAATCAATAACTATTTAGGTCCGGATCTGAATTTGCTATTTTTTTTATCACATAGTACATATATTTAATAAAGTTCTATATATTTTCAAGACTTGATAAACAATTTGATCCGGTTCAGTTGAGTTCTACAAAGCAATTGTCAATTAGCTTATTGATATTTAATAACTTATTATATATATAGTGTGTAAACTAAGCCATTGATTAGTAATAATCCTAATCCTCGCATCAGTATCTGAACTTGTTTTGGTTCCACTCTCCATCATCATCTCTCAATTTCCCGAGCATAGAGTCATTGTTCTTTAACAATCAACCAAAGAAACAAACTAACATTATGATAATAAATACAACACAAAGAGAACTATAAATGAAAAACCAAATCTTTTGAGATGGTTCTGCTAGGGAACAAAGGTAAACAGGAAGCAAATTGGCTCTCGGTGGTCTTGGCTGCTTCTTGATTATCTTCATCAATTCTCCCGCTCTTTTGAAAAGAGACGTAACTTTTGATGGCCTCTTCAGAACTTTCCTCAATGTCAGAGAAATTTCCTTCCTATTCTCATTCTTCACATGAGGCTTTGTGATCTTATTAACCTCTCCACGCAAGAAGCTATACTCCAACAATGTCAACGCGTCTTTTCTCTCATCAGTATTTAACGTGAAGCAAGCCATGATAAAGTGTTTAGCATCGCAAGGAAGATCACTCGGAATCAGTGGCGCGTACCACTTCTTGAGACCCTCCAAGTCATAGTTATTATGCCACCATGGTTTCTTTCCAGTGTACATCTCCAACACCACACATCCCAATGACCATAAATCAAGTCCTCTCCCTGTCTCGCCATGAGAAACCGATCCCGGCGACATATAGATCGCAGTTCCCACGAACGGGCGATGAGGATGCCACCACTTATTGTCTCCATCTCTTTTGGTCAACCCAAAATCAGAAATCTTCAATTCATAAGACGATCTCCAGGCGCCCTTCTTATAGACGCATTTAGGGAAAACAAGGATGTTTCCGGGTTTGAGATCGCAGTGGACATAGCCTTGTCCGTGAATCGTGGCTAAGCCTTCGAGAATCATACGAGTAAACTCTCTTATCAAAGGATCAGGCAGTTTCTTATCTTCGGATCGTTCCATGAAAGTCCTCAAGCTTCCTCCAGCTGCGTACTCCATAAGCATCATATACTCTAGGTTACCCTCAACGTCCAGATTCTCTATAACTCTGTTTTCATAGCACTGGACGATTCTCGAACAACCCTTGAATTGGGACAAGATTTCAAACTCTTTCTGGAGAGACTCGGCGTTTTTATAGTTGCAAGTCTTCACCGCGGTGTAGAGAGTCGTGTGTGGTTTCGAATACTTGAAGAGACTCACCGAACCATAGGAACCCTTTCCGAGATACTTTTTGAATTCTAGCTCTGGTGGTACCATTGCAATGGAATATATTATCGATTCTCTGATTTCTTTGGCACCAAGTTAAGAAAAAGACCTAGGTCACGTACTTGAAATCTGAGAATCAAAATAATTTGGTGAAGAAGAGTGATCCTATATATACAGAAAATTTTCCTTTTTTTCTTTAAGAGATAAGTAACTTCAAATAATATTAGGACATAAGTAACCTCAATACATTTTTTTCCAATTTTAATTTACAAAAGGAAATAACAATTTCCTTTTTTTTTCTGTAAAGCCTACAAAACTTTAGTTGTCAAAATTGGAATTAAAAAAGGTATAGCTGTTGACAATACTTATCGCTAATTAAGAGAACTAACTACCAAGGCTATACTGACGTAAGGAGACATAAATCAACATTACATTTTCTTGCTTGCCAATTCTTTGAAAGTTGAACCATTAATAAGATTGAAATCAAAAGACCAGTAGTTTATGATTATGAATTGTCATATATTTAACAAGTGATACGCTTGTTTTAAAAGTCCTATACTTTTGTCGGATACCTTCAGTCACCCAGCAAACTAGAACCGGGTAAGCGAGAATTCTAGGCAACATCACTCACCATGATGAAACCGCTAGACCGCGGTACATCTTCTCAGAGTAAATTGATCCTCCATAGGCCCATTTCTTGATAAGCACGACACTGTCATCAAGCATAACTCTGTAATGTCGCCATAAGATTTGAATTAGCATCATCATTAATCGCAATTACCTCTTCAAGTAATAAATTGATCATAAACATGTTCTGTCGTTCGTTGACTTCATGCTTTTTCCTTCTTCACCAAAACATCTTAACAATTTTCAGGAAGATTTTGACTACAGAACAAGCAAATCACAGTGAAACCCGAGACTTCGTCGATAAGAGTTTGATATCGATTTTGAAACGACTCGTTCAAAGATACAAAAAGCGACTTTAATGTCAACTCCAAACAACCAAATCGCTGATGTGGTTGAACATGGGAAAATGATATTTCTGCTGTGGACGCGCACACCGTGGTACTCAAGGGATCCGATGTGATGATTTTTAATGATGATGATTGAAATGTTTCTCCGTATGCATTTATTTTAGCTCCTAATTTGGTGCATATCATATAGTAACCAACATATGCCGGTAAACTGGTAATATAAGAAAAATATATGAAAAAGAGAAAACATGCACATACATATATTTATTAATCAGCATTTTACATAAAAACATGTCTGACCATTATCAAATTGTTTTCTCTTTCGTTTTATTCACTTTGCCTGTCTAAACAACACACACAAAATTGGACATTGTAAAAATTGACAGAGACATCAATATTTCTTCTTTTTTCTTTAAATATAAGCTTAGTTCAAGTAGTAGGCGAAGAGAGACACAAGGGAAGCTCCAACCAAAGAGCCAAGAGCCGGAACGGCTATAGAGGCTCCGCTGGCGGCGGGTCCTGGTGCCGGAGCTCCAACATCTGCAGCCATGACGGCAGTCATGGAAGCAGCAGCGAAAACGACTCCGCAGGCAATCTTCTTCATCTCCATTGCTAGTTGAGACCTGAAAGGTTTTTTTTCTGTTTTTTTTTTTGGTAGTTTTGTTTACTTTTTTTGTTTTTGTTTCTCGCAGGTCTGAGGATAATTGGATGGTGTTTATGGGGATTTATACGGGATGTAGTTAAGCTATTTTTAAGAAAGTTTAATATTAGAAATCGATTTGTTCCAAAATCTTAGAAATTACATAACTTTTTTTTTTTTTTTTTGGCCAAAGAAATTACATAACTAATGTAGAAACCTCACCGTTGAATTTTTATTTTACTGTAGTGGCTTTGAGTCATTTACGCGTTTCCATCCATATTTTTACCTGGTCAAAATTTCCATATATGTGTTTTTGCTATTTCATTTATTTTACGGTAAACCGTCTGACTCAGATATCATTTTCCGGCATGTTTTTTTATTTGGTCTTTTGTAACCGTATCTAGCCCACGAGCTAAAGCCCACTAACATATGTATGGACTTTTAAAGAGTTAATGGATCTTCATTACGTTTTCTTATGTATGAATCTTTAAAGAGCTAAAGCACACTACCATAATTTTGTGTTTAAATTGCTAAAAAAATTTGTGTTTTAAATTGGTCTTATGGATCTTCATTTTTTGTTCTAAACACACTTCAATTGGTTTAGAGGTGGGTGATCCATCCCTTTTATTTATGTTTTTATTAGCTCGTTCCGAACCTAAAAAGACAATATCAAAAACCTTAAACTTTTTGGTAAAGTAGATTTTGCTGGTAGAAATTTTGGTATTAACATTGTGAACGAATAACAACAAAGTGAAATTTTAAGACTTTTTTGGGAATAATAAAGAGAATAATTAGAAGAGGGGAGAAGGAATGAATTTCCTAGCTTCTGCTATGCTTTTTTCTTCACCCTACTTTTTCTGTTTATGCTTCTTTTTCTTTCTGTTTGGTTTTGATTAAAGTTGCGTCGCAATCAACTTTTTCTTTTCTTTTAAATTTAAAACCAAAAATAATATTTTAAAAGGTATAAATTGATGAATAAATTCATATAAATATATGAAATTTTTATTCTTGCGTATAATATATGCTCAATAGGTTTGGTGTTATCTTGAATAAGATACTCGGCATAAGTCTTGTGATTTTGTGTTTGATCACATCACCGCCAAGCTTTTGGTAAATTAAAATATTAATGGAAATATAAAAGGTGATAAAGAAAATCACTCAAGAACAAACATATGCACCGAAAGTTTGATCACTGAAAGGTGACGATCACCTATTTTTTTTTCTTTTCTCAAATGCATTTGCTCTCTTTAGTTAAATTTATAACAAAAAAGTATTACCGATAAAGAAAGAACAACTTAAATATCATATTATTGGACTATACCCTCTAGCAAAAGAAGACAAAATAATTGAACAGAGAATGAATAAACATGTTCGCACTAATCTTGGTTTGTTTTTTCATTTCCTGATCAAAGAATAATGCTAAGAAAGAGTCCAAAGAGAACTGTCACGTGAGCTCGAGGATTAAAATTGGTTGCACCAAGGAGATAAAAATATTAAAAATCGGATTTAGATTAACGTAAACAATTAAAAGAATTAAGTGGATATTAAATCAACCCACCAGGCCACCATCTCAACACAAAGCTAAATTTGCATATTCCAAAGCATTTAAAAAAGGGAAAAATGTGGTTGATCAATTCATCAAGAATTGACAAAAAGTAAAGAACTTACTTAAGAATCTTTGTTATATTACATTTAAAGATATATGATATCACTGTCACCTGCCCCATAAACCACATCCACATCTCTAAGAAATCCAAAAATTAATCCTTTATGGATTAGCCCCCACTCAGTTCTACCCAAACAATATTTATTTGATTATTGAACTAATGCCACATAAATAATTAGTTAGTGAGGCATTTAATAATTAAAATAGACACATGTCTCACAAGAATTTGTTTTTAATGCTCCTCGTACTTCTCCCACAAACACATAATGAAAATAATACAAAACAGATACTGAGAAACTTTTTTTTTTAAAAGATTATTGAAATTAATTTCAGGGTACTCATTATAACAAACGATAACAAACAGTCATAACAATAATAATATAAAAAATAATAATATTAATAACAATAATAATAATAATGATAATGGGAGAAAGAAATCCTAAAAAAAATTGAAAATGGGAGAAAGAAAACCAAGAAGGTTTTGTTTCATCTCCTTTCTTCCCCATAAGCCTTTTTCTTGTATTGTTCCCTTCTCTTCTCTAAAAAAAAACTGTTTTTTTTTGTGAAAATTAATTGACCAAAAACAAAGAAAACTTCTTTCTTCTCTTCTCTTCTTTGTTAATCTTGTTACCCTTCTATTACCACCACCACCACCTGTAAAAAAGAGGTTTTTATCTACCACATAGAGAGACCAGACAAGAACACGTGATTCTTTGGTTTGGTCTCTCAATTCTGCTGAGCCACAAGCTGATCGAGCTGCATTTGCTCAATCCAAGCTTCTAGCCCAGCATGATCCATTACCGGTTCAACCGGGTTTGGCTGCTTCACGTGTTCCCCTGAGGAAGATGTTGCTGCTTTCTCTTTGGCTTCTGTTGGAGACTCCTTCACCAATGACTGGACCCATGACACATCAGGCTCATCACCATCAAACGATGACGAAGATCTCAACTTACCAAGCGCCTCTGAGCTCATCCCCCAATCCGGTTGACCATTTGAAGATCCCCATTTTGATGACCATGAGTTGTTGTTTACCGGTGAACCAACTATTGGGCTTGAGTTTGTTCTGAGCTCTCTGGAGCTAAGGCTACGGAACTGATGTTGTTGCTGCTGCTGCTGCTGTTGTTGTTGTTGTTGCTGTTGCTTCACGCACTGAGCCAACATGGAAACACGAGAACTCATGGGTGAAATTGGCTCAACCACATTCCTAGGAGACATTCTTCCTCCACCCGAAAACAATGAGTGATCAACACTCTTTGGTGAAGAAAAGCTTGTGTTGATTGGAGACAACATGCTCTGCTGCTGCTGTTGCTGTTGTTGGAACTGGTTGAAGACAGCTGATTTGTGTGTAGGCGAGAACACCGCGGAAGCTAAAGCAGAATCAGTGAACCGGGGAGACGAGGAGCCTTCTGCTGAGAAAAGATCTTCGAGATTTGAAGGAGGCATTGATTTCATCCGACCAGAACGGCTCAGAGAATTGGAATATTCGTTGAGGAGTTGCTGCTGCTCGTAATCCGCTAACATATTGAACTCATCCGTCGGGATATCTCTTGCATTAAGAGAAGACCTTAGCCTGCTTGACTGTAGATTACTTCCAGGTAAGTGCAACGCAGGGACATTCGGTTGCGGCCAAGCCATATTCGAATGAGACATCCCGTTTCCCGCTGCTGATGGCGAAAGCGGGGACATGACAGAGACTCCTGATGGAGAACCAGGAAGGAGACTCAAAGCAGCTGCATAATCAGCATTCGATCGAGGTGAAGGAACCGCTGAACCAGTTGATGCGTACAAAGGTCGAAGCTCCTCGGGTGTATGCGCAAAGAAACAAACACGCCGAGCACAGCCTGTTCCGTCTTTACAAAGACGGGTCCTGTACTGAGCCGGATGAAGCCAACATTCGAACACACCGTGCGCATACTCACACATATCTCCTCGCCTACAAGCTCCTTTCCTAAAATCCGGGCAAGGAACACAGCTGTAATGGAACTTCCTCGGGTCTCTTCTTCTCGCGTTTTCGCCCGGGTGGACAAAAGGACACTCAGTCCAATCATGCGAATAAGCACGCGAGCAAGGCCGGACCTTGAAGGAATACATTCTGAACTCATCAGTCGCATAGATACTATTCTTGATATCCGGTAAAGACGGGTCAACTGGATACTCTTTCTTGAAATCAGTCGATTTCAGCTTAAAAGGAGAACCGAGCGGTGAACCAGACCCCGGTCCGCCATTCTCTCCAGTAGGAGAATGAGATGGAGAAGAGCTTCTATTAGGAACATTCGTCACAACCCGTAAATTCCGTTCCGCAGACGATGATCCATCAGCAGAAAGAAGCTCCTGAAGCATCAGCTTCACACCTTCAAGCTTAGGAGGAACAACAATAACATCACCAGCTCGTTGACCTTCAGCATCCAACAGATTCAAATCTGCTCCAGCTGCAAGAAGCAGCTTAACAACTTGGATAGCATTCACAGCTCCTCCAGAAGCAGCGCAGTGTAGAGCAGTAGTCTGATCATTCCCACAAGCGCGGTTCACGCTAGCATCAGTCAAAGAAACAATAAGCTTGATCACATCAATGCTTCCATAAGTAGCAGCAACCATCAACGGAGTCCTCTGATCATTAACCATAGCTTTAGAACCTTTTTGACGACCGTACCAGAGACCAGCTTCGTCTACACAAGAAGGATCTCTCTCAATAGAAAGCCTTACACCTTCCACATCGTTGTTAGCTGCGAGCTCAAGCAAGCTCGCAAACGTATCCTCTGTTTCGACTGTTAAGTGATTCATGTCTGTGTAGGTAACAAGATTGTTATCCTCGAAAAAAATTGACAACGAAGAACTTGATGACACGATCTGGTTTAATCGGTCTGATCCACAGCACATAGTTCCATCTGTGGAATCGGATTCTGTAAACATCATCAAAAGAATCACAAATTCAATCAAAAAGATCACTTACATATTAAAAGAACTAATAAATCGTTCATAAGATATATTGAAAACTAAAAGAGAATCTTTTCTGATTCTCTTATCCATTGGTTTGCAGAAACTAGATCGGAATACTCAAGTTAAGATAAATCTCAGCTAAAGTCACTTTCAGACAAGAAGAGGGGGGTTTTGTCTGAAAACAAGACCACGTCTTAACGATTCCCAAAATCAACCGTTTTTGTGAAAACCAATAAGTCAAACAGATTTCAATTAAGAATCAGGATGATTTGTAAAGACGCTACTTCTAAAAATAGAACAAAAAACTAATAACAAGCAGAAAATCCGATCAGAAAATCCCAAATAAAATCTTCATCGAATCTTTTTTTCATAAAAACAAAGTCAAATAGGCAAATAGAGGAGAAAACACAAATAGATCTTTGTTGCATGTTATTTGACGTTGTTTTTTTTGTCAAATATCCACAGAGATTAAAACGAACATAGAAAGGGAGAAGCTTTAGATTCAGATAGAACCAAAAATAAAATCTTGAGACGATCAAAAACCAAACGATATTAAAAAAAAGATTGGTTCTTGCATTAGAGGCCTCCGATGATCGACAAATCTCACCTTTTTAATTCTCGATTGAAACAAGTTTAATAGAACACGAACAAACCCATATCTTGCCGAAGACTTGGATGGTTTAATCCTGAAATGAAATCAGTTTATAGTAGATCTAGAAGAAGAAAAAGAAGGGAGTGTTAAGGAACAACAAGTGAGAAGAAAGAGGAGGAAAAGAATTAATTTTCCCGAGAAAATCTGGGAAGGAATAATAAAAAGAATCGGTGAAGTCTCTTTTTTTTAGAGAGAAGAAGAAATGGTGAGAGGAGCTTGTTCTTCTACAATCTCCATTTCCCAAGCTCAGATCTCACTAGAAAAGTATTTACACCCCCAAAAATTAATTAATTTTATTTTTCTGAGAAAAAACATTTTTCGACACTTCGTTTTCGTTTAATGAAATTTAATAAATTTCGCTATCCAATAGGGAAAGCTATTTAAACTAATATTTAATAAAAAAACAAGTAAACAAAAGAAAAAGACAAGCGCTACTATGAGATCTTATTCTAACTCCTACCCGTTTTACGAATTTTAAATAACCTCAACCAATAGGAACTGTCCACGTCATAACTAGACAGAAGAATACAAGGGTAAATGCGTCATTTCGTCTTCCATCGGCTGATTTGGCAGGTTATGGTTGGCTGACATCGGAAGTGGACACGCATGTATCCTATTAAGCTTTTTGTCCTTGGTCAAATTCTCCAGTAATTTCCACTTAATACAACTTCCTAAAATAAGGGGTTAGCAATCTAGTGAGTCCAGTTACATCGTAATTAAAAGCCTATTTTCCTACGTGGCGACACGTGATTGGATATTCACCTTTTCGGCTATATCCCCGTTACAGGAGAAATCTCTAGAGACGACGCTCTGCTTTCTTCATCAGGTTTTTCCAAAATTTCCCAAATTGCCCTTATCGGAACTTTACGAGAAGTCGTTTTTACCCCTTTTATCTTTGGCTGAGGAGACACGTGGGACAAAAACATTGACCAATGAGCACAATAAGACAGGGGATTTTTCAATGGACGCGAGCTTTATGATTGTACCGGGTTTACCGGTGAACCCGGTAGTACGGATGGCTGATGGTAAGAGAAAGTAAACGGGAGCAACCGGTAGCCTGTGAGTGGCGTAATTGAGAGGGATTATTAAACGATATTTAAGAAGGGTAACTGGCGTCCACCAAGCGTACGGGGAACGGACGTGACACATTTTATATAATTCCAGTTTAATTGTAGAGTCAATCATAAACCATGAGAGAAATAAGAATGTGGGCCTAATGGATTAATAGATATTTTTGAAAACTATAGGCAATTATTAAACTGCACCAAATTTCCAATAACCTAAAAAGTTAAAGAGTGGATTAAAATATATATGCTATTACATGGTTAGATTTCCCATTATACCATAATTTCCAGATGTAAAAAAATTATTTTCTGGCGTTTTTCTTTGTTTTTTAAAATCCCACCTTTTTTTTCAAAAAAATTACTAATTAGGTTCTAAATATTAATTTATAATTACCAAAAAAAATCATCAATCTGGAATAACTTCTCAATTTCGTTAAAACTTCCGTCCAAATCCAAAACCCATGAAAAAAGGTTTTAACGAAGTTGAGAAGAAATAGTAGTTTCATTATTGTATATTGAAAAACTTCACTGATTATTCACGTCAAGAAGAACAATACGGTATTTGCCCAAAAAAAAAAAAAGAAGAACAATACGGTATAAAAAACTAACTAACCAAAGAATATCATTATTATATTTATTTATTTTTGTTAAACCATCATTTATACTATAATTATGAATTTATGATCCTTGGAAGTATTTAGTTATAATTGAATTACAGTTTTTTTTTGTTTTTAACATGAAGAATCTCAAAAGTTAATTTAGAATAATTTTCTCTAATCCACAGCAAATCTGTTCTCCTGATTAAAATGTCTAAAGGGGTCCATCGAAACCAACAGTAAAAACTAGAAACCGGTTTGTTTTTGTACTGTACCTCAAACAGTATATGCAAAATCTATGAATTTATAATAAAATAATTGAACCCGAATCCATAAAAAATAATTGAATTTGAAATCAACGACTGCTAATATTTAAAAAGATTAAAGAAATAGAAGATTAATACTGTAAATAGAGATCAACAGTGGAATTTTAGTCCCGTGGCTAAAACAATTAACAAGCATCAGTATAAGTAGGATTTAAATCCAATTTATGCATTTATACAGTCAAATTAATTGATTAAAATTTTTAAAACAATATATATAGTCTCACTGACGACCTCCATTAGTGAAAATGGGGCGTCTTTCTTAAATTTTTAATACTAAATTAAAGATATTCATCAATAAAAGAAACAAAATTGTTGCGACCATTTCCATTACAGGGTTTTTAAGAAATTCTTAACATTAATTTTTATAAAAATTAAATAAATAATTAATTAAATCTTAAAAAGCAGCTCTTAAATAAGAGTTATATAACCCGTTCTTAGAATTAATTCTTAACATTTCTCTATTTTCTTCTTTTGGAGAATCCGAAGAATTCAACCCAAACCCGAACCCGGAAATTTAGATTTATCCTATTGAGTCCTAAACTCATATATTCGAAAATCTGAACCCGAATCCGAACCCGAATATACCCGAATGTTTTATTCGAAAACAAAAAATTTTACTCGAAATTTGAATTTTTAACCGAAAACTCGAATATTTACACGAAAAATCGGGTATTTACCCAAAAACCTGGATATTTACCGAAAACCCGACAATTTACCTAAACATTTATATAGCAGGTATTTAGTGGTTCAAAAAATCAATATCCGAACCGATCCGAATCCAAAAGGACCCGAACGGAAACCGAACCGATTTTTTATTTACCCTATTGGATCCTAAACTTCTCTATCTGAAAAATCCGTAACTGATTTTCATTTGCAATAATTATGAAGTTTTCTAAACTAAATTTGTTAATTTAATTTAATTTTAAAATTAATATTTTTTAAAGAATCACAAGTTAAGAACTTATCATTAAAGACACATAAAAATTTAAAACCAATAAACAATTTTTCAACTCTAAACTTTACAAATTTAATATTAAACTAATGCTAAGAGCCAAAATTAGCATACCACCAATAATGTTGTTCTAAGATCTCTGTTGAAGTTGTTTTACCTTGGAACAGCTTTCTACTCAAGTTCAAATGTATTTAGTTTATAATTCTGTAATGATGAACAAAAAATACTAGTGTTGTAATTCTATTTTTTCTTCTCATGTCGGCTAAATTAAACAAAATTATGTCGGCAAATTTGTTTATTAATTATAGTGTTAAAACTTAATTAACTTAAATTTTTCTAGTTAATCATACATAATTATTGCTCGAGTTTTGACAACCTGAAGCCCTCGTCCCGTCGGAGGAAAACACTAGCGAGGCTTCACTCACCCCACTAATCATTATTAGTGATAATATTCGTTTGTCACCATTATGGTGCTGATGCATCCATTAATATATTTATAACAGATAAGGAAATAAAAGTATATAAAATAAGAAAAGCATTATCCTCATGCACGAGATAACTTTTGGATCATGTCATGTGGATAACAAGATAGTAGAACGAGTCCGACATTAATTAATGACCAATCATCACACTCACAAGATTGTTAATAAAAAAAAAAAAAACTTAACACAATGAATCTTCTCACAAGTAGCAATATGGGGAGAACTCTATTTTTAATATGCTATAAATTCTCGTTCCTATTTATAGTAAAAGAAAGGAAAAAAGATATCTAACTACACGAAGTATGCTACAATACATGGCCATACATCCGAAGTTTAAAAATGTATCCCTAACTACACAAACTATATGTATCGCATGCCCACATATACGAACTATATGTAGTCATGTCGCCAACATCACGAACATTTTTTTCCGGTACACTTTTCGCCGGAATCCGGCATTGACCAGTTTGACCGGCGTTGACCAACATAAATATTAAAAAAACAAAATTTTAGTTTTTTAATATTTAGAAAATTATGTTATTGAATCATTTATAATATTGTATAATTAAAAAAATATATACAATATTCAATATAAAAATATTTTGTATATATATTCAATGCCTTGATTTTTATAATTAGTTAGGTTCAGTAATTTCAAAACTAAACTAAAAA